TTGAAATGTGACAGAAAAGGCAGCACCTACAGAAAGGCAGTGCAGCCTTTAACTCTGCCTGTTGCTTTAAGATGACAATATTCAATTATTAGATCAATTACAAATATAACGTGTACTAACTTCCAAAACTGTAAAGGTGACATTTATTCTTTAAAAGACTGTCATCTCAGTTTAGTGAAGAAACATTGCTATGATTGACACAGTCCCCCTGGGCAAGCTTTTAGAGACTGACCTTCCTTAAGAGTTTGAAAATAGAAACATCAAATCAATCAAATCAAAACCAATATGCTGGAAACATGCAACTTTTGATGGACTATAACCTTATTGATTTACACAAAAAGCAACATTAAATAAGATGCAGTGAAATGTTTAAATCTATAAAGAAATTGTCATTTTACAATTTCTTAAATACATCTCCAGAATGTCTGTTAATAGCAGCATGCATTTAGGTGTGTGCTACTCTAAATGGCACTAGCATTTAGAGCTAGGACTAGCCTCCTACCATACTGTACATCTTTTAAGATTGATTTGTTTTTATATTTTTATAAATAATCTAGAAACTTTTAATTCAATGTTAGACAGGACCAGAGAAGATTTAACGAAAGAAATAGGCTGAATCAATGGCATGACTGGAAGAAGGTACTTTTTTCATATGGCTATAATCTACAAACATTTATTTGAAAGCATAACATGTAGATATTTCAGATTTAGTGTACAGCTAATGTGGTGTATTAATACATGTGTATTAATAACAAATATTTATGGTGTAATAATAAAAAAGCATTGGGGTGTGTTAATACAGATTTTGGGCTGCTTCTCAGCTAAACAAGATAGATACTTACAAAGTAATAGATGGCACAGTGATCAAAAAGCAGGAACAATTAGGGTCTGATCAACCATGCCATTTCCTCAGGTGTATGTCTCATTGAGCAGGGATTCATCGTCCATCACAACATTGACCGCAAATATTCAGCCAAATCTAGTGGAAACATACCAGGAGCATTTGAACACTCACAAAGATGTCTTCATCTGCACTGAGCCCTGATATGAATATCTTTGAACCTATACGGAGTTAAATGAGTACTGATTACTGAGTGTGTCAAACACCTTGGACGAATTATGGAGATTCCTACAAGTGGAAGAATATTTCACAGTCATTGATTGTCTGTGAGCATGAAAATGAGGTGCCCATCTCCAAGTAAAAAAACATGTATTCATGTTGTTTCGTACTATATACATTTTTTGCAATAATGCATTGTGCATTCACTAAATAAAAATTGGCAAGTGCTAGTTATTTGTGACAACTTTACACACACCATGTTTCCATATTGATTTCTAATGTTGTACAAAAACAACATTTCTCAGAGAATAACAGAATTTCAGCAGTACCTTGCAATGAGCCCACGCATATCAAGGGACCTTGTTCTTAACACTTTGGCGTTAATTCTCCTGGCTGAGGAAATGACAGCGCTGTCCGAAGATCAGAATCCCCCTCACTTTACGAGGAATGAACCAGGGAGCTGCGGCAATGGTGCAGTTGAGGTGGGGCGACTTTAAACCTGAGGTCATGGTATTCTCCAGTTAGAGAGGAGAGGTGCTAGAAAACATGTGCACAGAATTGGATGCAGAATATTTATACATAGGAGAGCTTAAGTGTGATATTAGAGTCTGACCTTCTCCTGAACTTCTGCTAAATAACAACCATTTCTCATTACACACTGAATTATACTACTTTACTTTTTAATACAATAAAAAGATACACATTTCAGATTCGTAAAATGGAAAAAAGAATAGAGAAAAACTCATTTGTGTTGAAATGTGCTTACAGTACCTTCAAATATTACTCTCATTTAGGAAAGCTACAGTATAGCAAATGTCTTGTTCAGTGACTGAGTGGGAGAGAGTTTTGTGAAAGAAAAAAATAGCAGACATATCCAAAGAGACAAAGACACACACATGCAAGACAAGGCCATTGCATTTATTTAAAGGGACAGTGATTGGTTGTGTTTATTTAGCTTGTGGCTGCATTCATCTTTTGTTTTCAAAGCCTGAGGAGATGAAAGTGGACAGAACACAGAGGTGAAAATAAAGATAAGGCAGACAGGTTTCTTTTGTTCAAGAAGATGTAATTTTAATACACCCTACTTGCTAGAAAATGAAAATGTGCAATTACAAAATTGTCTTTTCAAACTTGTTTAAATTCAGTAGAAATGCACCAAGTTTGAAGGGGATTCATATTAGTATACAGATGCGCCCATGCCCTTTAACATACGACATACAAAAAGCTGCTATAATAATTTTGATTCAGACATTTAATAACAGCAGCAGGTGATACTATCTTTTCTAGGTTTAATGTTTTTGTTTTCTTGCTTTTGCCTTCAGGAACTAAAACAACCATCAGCTCAACATTCTGTCCTACCTTTAAAGAGCTTTACTGAAAATAAATCTGAATAGACACAAATGTTTCATGGTGATGCCTCAACAGTTTCTTCTGCATCAGTAGTTTCAGTTTAAAATGATAATTTCCTCCTTTTTAAGAATGTTCAATTCTTGGATTTGACCTGAACACAACAAAGGTGAACTGAGCACATGCATTCCAACAATAACAAGGGTTACAATTTTGGTAGAAACATATATGTACAAGCTCAGGTTTCTACAAACCAATATATACTGCAGCAAGAAATATTTATCCTTTTTCTCTAGTGAAATTTATTATAGAATTATAAATGTTAAGCAGTGGTTTTAAAAAATAAAATGCCTCTGAAAGGTTTACACAAAATTCATTAATTGAATGACACTGCTTTCTTGATAGAGACAGCACGGAGATGTGGCAAGCAGGGCTGTTGCCTCACAGCTCTTGGGCTGTGGATTGATTCTTACCCGTTATAACCCTCTGTGTAGAGTGTGTGTGTTTTCCACACGGGCACATGGGTTTTGCAGCAGGTTTTCTGGTCTCCCCCCCACCATCCAAAGACAGATTAATTGGCGTCTCTTATTGACTCATATGTATATGTAGTGTGACGTACTAGTGTTGCATTTGGGGAATATGCTGCTTTACACCCATTGTCTGCAGTGATGGTTTTTGACTCATCATGACCCTTGTGGCATTATGGGGGTGTCTTCAACGTGGAGGCGGAGCCCTGTATTAAGGGCCATGCGTTGTCTTAGTAACCACAGCTGACCTGGCTAATTCAGGAAAAGCCGCAGCTGTGGGGGCCATTTAAGTCACACTGAGCACCTCCCCGGAAGGACGAGCAAGCAGGACTTCAGTCCTTATGACCCCGCAAGGGGAGAACATTCCAGCAACAGTCCCAGAGGGGACTGTGAGGAGAGCACGTTTTCTGCTGTCCTGCTGTGAGGATTCACTGCGGCAGGTTGAGTTTTCTTGTGTTTGTGGCCTCGCTCCTTTTCTTCCAGCCTGGACCTCGCGAAATAGGGATAGTCCAGACTGGATACAGCTGTTCCAAGAGGTCTTTCTTTTTCTCCCAGACTGGACCCCCCTAAATAGGGACAGTCCACTCTGTGCAAAGCAGTGTGCTTTTACTTTCTCCATTTTTTCCCCCAGTTTTTGCCAACCTCACACCGGTGCCTCCACCCCCTGCAATGGGGCGTAGACTTTGACTGTTGTTCACCATGGCTCCCACCACGAACCCACGCTTTGTCACACCCTGTCTTGGTTCAGGCGGTTATCGAAAATGGATGGCACATTTGATGGTGAGGCTTCCACTGATCCTTGCCGCCCTCCGAACCAGATGAGCCTGCCACGGTCCTCAACACGAGGGTAGGCCATCTTGGGAAAGGCCACATTCTCTTCCATCATTAAGCAATTACATCATACGATTCCTCTGCTAAATTAGCAAATTCTTCCACTTCTTACGCGGCAATCCCAATTGGGATTCCCACTACTCCACGCTGCTGCTTATCCAAAATGTTGCACCGCTGTGAGACATGATGAAGGTGACAGCCTGCTCTCTTATAAATTATGCTATGCAGAGGAATTGGGTCAGAAACTGTCACATTACAGGTTGTGTTTTGTAAGTAGGGATCTAAGCTTATATGTTGTCACATTCTGAATGCATTACAGTAAGCAGTGTATTGTTTTTTTTACCACGCTTGATCATTACTATAACATAGGCACAGTTATAAATAAAATGTTTGTTTTGCTAAAAAATATATACTTTTACAAAAAAGGATATACTGTAATTCAAGAGAGAGATCGTACTTAAAGTTACCCATGAAACATACAGTATTACTTGTGTCATATTTTTATACCATGTTCCCAATCATTTTCTCCAGAAATCTGAAATACCTGCTTTAATTTTGAATACTGAGAAAAGGCATTTACCCTTGCTCGAGGGTGGATTTATAGATATAAAAAGATATTCAGATCTGTAAAGGTAATTCAGGGTATAACACATGCTCTTGCATTTTATTTTGTAATTATTTCTTCTCATCTCCTCACTCCTTCTTTGAATATCCCCGTTACTACAGGTTTCATACGCAAGGTTTCAGAAAAAACAAACTTCTTGCCACCCATTAACATTCACAAAGTACTCGCAGAAATCAAAACCATGCAAAACTATTTCTTTCATTTCATGTTTATTATGTTAGTTGTGTCCAGATAGATCACCATCAGAGATACGGTACTGTACTGCAAAACAACTCACACAACAGTTGTAGCTAAAGACACAACGCATTTCAGTGGCACTCTCAATGCAGTTTTTTTTTATTGAGGCTAAGCCATGTGTTCACTGCAGAAACAAGAAAAGGGGCTTTTTTTGCTATCCAACTTCATCAGTCCCACTTATGACATAGGAAATGCATTTTTCCCCATAAAAACAAAAGCCATTTTTAGTCTGTTATTATGAACACTCATTTTCTCAGTTACCCAAAGCTATAAGGACTTCTCATGTGAAGTGACAATCTTGACTAAATTATTAGTTCAATCTTAATTAAAATATGCAGTTAGCCTGTGTACAGGTCTTCAGACGGTTATCAAAAAGCCCGCCCGTCGAGATAACTGGATCAATGGTTGTATGACAGTCAATTACTGAAAACCTTCCATAGCTCAGGTCTGCTTTGTTAACAGTTGTTCTTTTCAAGACTGTGCCTGAGCTTCTTTAGGCTGCAGATTACAGACTCTGGGCAACAAAATGAATGAACCACTTAATATTTATAAAGATAGTGTAATACACGGTATGCATTAAAGAATAAGCATGCATAATATGCTTATTCTATCATGTATACCATGTATTAAAAGCCCTATTCTTCCACATGAATACACTTCAAATACATAAAAGCACCACCAGAAAAGTGTTTAGCCAATAGGTTTCTGTTTATATTCATGAAAGAGCTAATACAGACAGCCATCACTTCACACAGTCCAGAACACAAAAGTGGAAAATGGAAACTGCAGTCTGTCCTGATCTATATAGTGACAGATGCAGGATGGCTGAGATCCGGCAGTCAGCCGAAGTAAATATCTCCGTTCACTTGTCACGTGGTCTAAACAGTTGTTTATAAACTCCCATTAATATTTTAATAACACAAAATCTAACATGAAAACATTAAACAAGGAACAATAACCAGAATATTTTAATGGCTCACCTAAACCACAAGACATATTATCCTACATTTGAAACGAACTGAAAAGTTATTTTGTGACAAAATTGAAAGCAATGAGTAGGACGCCATTAAAACAAACATTACTGCCATCCAGTACATGGAATTACATCTGATTCTTAGAAGACAAATCAAAATGTCTAGGCACAGTCTGAGGCAATGTAGAGGACACAGAGGCAATAGGTTAGTGTGCACAGTTCTGTACAAAAATACTGGTGAACTCAGAATAAATTACATTGCTAGCCATACATTAGACCTCACTTGATGGTCTATTCAATGCTCATTCAACAATTTACAATAACATGCTAATCCATAATGTAGCATTTATATTGACACATTTATTTAGTCTTTATATATATTGTACAGTTTATCATCTTCAAAGCTTAAATGGAAGTGTGCAAGACAGCTGGATTCAGGTGCTGGAGGCATCTTCAGCATCATTAACAATGATGGCAGGGTGGTGTAGGTCTCTGGATTGCATACTGGGGGGGACTGCGTACTGTAGTTGGAGCAATCTCTGTGATGTTCACTAAACTCAGTCAGACATAATGGCATATGGCTGACATGTCAATCCTGATCATATATGATCATAAGATAAATAAATGAGTGGCTTTATTCACAGTTTAATGGGCATACGTCCGAGGTTTTGGGGATATAGATTACATAAATTAATATATAAATATTAATATATATATAAATTGTGTTGCTATACTATAGGGAGTTACTGCAAGCCTGTTCAGTTGTATGCGTGTAATAAAAACCCTTGAAGAGTGGAGTTTAAAAAGTTATAGACAGTTTGAGGGAGAATATTCGACAGAGCTTGCATTTCCACAAAAGAACAGTCCGTACTTACATTAATGGTCCAAACTGGGGATCTGTAATCAGAATCCAAATCTAACAGCATCCTTCCGCAAACTTATACAAGATTTGTGGAATCTCTCAACTTTAAAATGGTCCAATATTTACATTACAAATGAAAAATTTGAATTTTTCGTTTTATAGTAGATATGTTTTTTTTTCCAAGCTCTTTGTTGTGTACTGTTTAAATACTAATGGAACTTCATAACAAGCTCCTTATTTAAGATAGTCAAATGCTTCTATTACCAAATGAAAATAACTATGAATGACATGACAGCTTTATTCTGTGTAGGTAATGACAATTGTTGTCTGGGTGAAAGCGTAACAGCATCATAGACAAATGCTAATGTACTGTTGTAGGGTTTCTATTTTTCCTTTGTGTATTTGTGCCTTTGTTGGGTAAAAATGTAACAAAAACATATTTTATTTGGATATTCAGAAGTCCTTATACATTTGGAATGTCAGAAGAATAGTATACTTCATAGGTGTAAGAAACCGCAGTTGGAGATGTAAAGGGTGGCTTCCACAACTGAATCACAGGAAATAGTATATATTGGGCTTTAGTCAAAAAATGTAACTAATGAGGCTTAACATTATGCTATTACACACTTGAAATAACACAGTTTCTTCTTGCTTCCCAATAAAACACTCTTTGACACCAAAAAGAAGCCAAGTTTGTCTTGCATTTCTGTTTTTCTTCTTCTCTGTTTAGACAGCCTTCCATAATTATCCATTTCTGGGGTTTGGCATTGTGACCGTAAATATCTGTTTGACAGTTTAGCTTGTCCTGTGGTGTGCTAGAAATTTCCGCTGTAGGGTTGTGGCCCTGTAAAGGAAAACTTACAACAACGGGGCTGAGAAATCTCCCACTTCTTTTCGAAACATTAACTAGTCAGGCGAAAAGAGTTTCAAAAAACAAACTCTGCACAGTATTTGCGTATTTCCCCTTGGCTTCTGGGGTCCATGTGCGACTTGAAAAAGGAACGAAAAATGGAACAGGACCCTGTATTCATTTCCATTCACCAGGCCAGATCACACAGAGGTTTTACAGTTTCGTCTTCTATATAACTTCCTCCCAACAAATCCGTATTTAATTCCAGGCTGCCTTATGTGGGCCTTTTCGTCCCCCCCACCCTCAAGCACTGCTAAAGGGTGATGTGGATTAGAGCACCATCACATTCCATAACCATTTCCCTTTCCTCTACAATCTCCCTACAGTATAATTGACAGTGTAATTGGTTTGAGGGGGGAAAAACCCACCCACGTTACGAAAGGGATTTACGAAACAGAGAGCCAGATTAGCTGTTAGCACTGCGGCTTATGAATGATGCAATTATTTTGAATTTCTTGCTGGCATCAAACCCAATAACAGCTTTCAGGTGATTCTGTTGCCCCTTGATTTTCTGCAAGATGATTAGTCGGCCCCTTTAACAAAGCAAAACAATTTCCCAGCACCTGGGTGACAACGCAGGCTCCTTCACACAGCTGGAGAGTTTCTTGGTCACTGCGCACTCAAAAAAGAAATCTTCCCAGGAGGCTTTGATATCTGCATCACTCGTATTGTATGCAGCCGTATTTAATGAGCAGGTTCTGAAGGACAAAAGTAGAAGTGCCAGAATCCCATAATGCAAACTGAAGGACGTGTCCATTTCCAAAGTATCGCATTGCTTTTTGTTTCCTCTTTCATATACTAGTTTTCATCTTAACTTCATAAAAAGCAAACTATTTAGTCAGTTCAGTAGTTAGGTCAGTTAAGCTCTAAGAAAACATGGTTTATTTACTTTCCTTTTTCTCCCACCCATCCTCATTGTCTTTGTTAGGTATTATACTTTTGCAGCCAAAGGCAGAGAAAGTACTGCATGTAAACTGCTCCTCGGAGACAAAATAATATTAGAAAAGTAATATTGTTGGTACCCCAGGTAGCTGTGGCAGTTTGCAGTGTTAGTAGTAATCTTCATAGTTCTTGGGGTTCAAACAGTACAGGATTGCACCCCCAAAGGAAAAAATGGTGGCTCCCCAGGCTAGCCCATACCCCCAGTTGAACTCATGGTATATTCTTAAGCTGACAGACTCTATGAACTTGATGGGGTACAGGACAAGACTGCAGACTTGAAGAACAACTGAAAAAGAAAAACAGACATTACTTGTTATTAAATGATCACTAACAATGTCAACGACCAGTAGTGTGTTTACGTAAGTTTATAGTTAAGACTCTGAGAAATAGTGGAAACAATGAAAAAAAAAGTATCTTTAATTCCAACACATTTGAACTCAGTAGCCTGAGAATCTATTCATATATATATATTTTATTAATTCTACCAAAGGTTGAGTAAAAATATAAACTGCAGGCATACAACAAGATTTTACAACATGTATTAATTAAAATAATAGAAATGTATGAAAAGGTGTACTGAATATATTGTATTATACAGTCTATTATATTAACAATATAACTGCCAAAATGTTCAAATGTATAAACTGCCTGTCAATACATTGACTACAAATGCTTTACATTTCATTACAAAAGCTTGTAAGTCATCTTGTAGGTTCATATAACCTTTTAAAGTTTATAGATGATTCTGAAAAGCAGCCTCACCATCACTGCTTCTTAAAAGGAGCTTGAAAACTGAAGCATAATACTGAGTATCATGTCACCAAGAGAAAGTCAGTGAATGGTCCAAAGATCTATTGCCCATCACAGCAAATCCATAGATGCATAAAAAAATCCATTAGACATCTAAGTTATGGCTGTGGTATCCATTATCAATATGTTCAGGGTGAATGCAATGTTTTTCTGTAATATACAGTCAGAAAACCTTTGATATACTAAGTCAGGGCAAAGGGCAATAACTGGGCATCTTTAAAAAAACTGGCTTTATCAGAATACAGAATGTCTCTATCACTACCATTTAAGGATGACCTCATATATCTGGTGTCTGTGCCAGAGCTCCAAGAGCTCCACGATAACATACAGTAAGATGCGAATCTGCCAAGTGAGTACCTAATTTACTCACAACTTACATGGGAATATGTGAAGTGGTTAGAGGAAACGTAAACCAAGGTTTTGGACAGTCTCACCAGGAGTATGATTCAAAGATGTGAGAAGCAAAGCACATGTTGTAAAAGAATGCCACCCCTTTTCTGAAGAAGAAAACGGACTCTTTTGAGACCTGTCTTTGTACCCCTTTGTTCTGATGTTCCAGCTGAAACTGATGGACAGATGGGATTCAGATTTTACCAGCATGTTTTTGCCAACAACTGGAGCCTTCTCTCAAGATCGGTAAAATATGAGCTTCACAATAGGATAGCAGTGCAAAGCCTACAACAAATTAAATTGACAATAGCTAAAATTGCATCAAAATAACTGTTCTTGATTGTTAATCATAGCCTCTAGCAGAACTTTTATGGCACAAGATTGAAAGAGCACATTATACACGTAAATGCAGGTCATATAACCTGGGAGAGCTACAGAGGTTCTATATACAGTAAGAGACTGTTGAACACCCTTCCTGAGGAGCCTTATTACCTAGCCTGACTGATTAAAGGGGGGGGGGGGATAAATCTGAACACTGTGCATTCAAAATGAAACAGGGGTATATAACTATTTCAGATAGAGGTTCACTTTTTACTTTCATTAAAGTCATAATTTTGATTCGTCTTTAATTTCCGTTTGTATCAGAAGAATGTACTTCTGGATTGTCTTTCTTAATCAACATCTGTTCACATATAATTCCATCATCTACTGTACTGTATATACAGTATGAACTTCTAGAAAAGAGAGGCAGCTCCTTGAATTGCCCCTTAAATTTCACAGACCTCATTAGTTCAGTTAAACCTGCTCTGTTTCTTTTATAGATACAGTATACCTGAGTTACATCATTTTCAAAACAGGTTTTAGAGGGAAGAATCAATAGTTGAATAACTCCTTCTCTGTAAGAGAAGAAATATTGTAGCTCAGTAAATATGAAATGAGAAAAAAGTTTGATAAGATTCTGAATCCTTACAGATGTGTGTGTAAAGAAAGTGCTATACCCTGCCCTTCCTGAATCAGTTAATCGGCTGCTTAGAAAGTATTTCATCGTTAGATTGTGACATCTTTGTGGTTTGCTCAGCTTTCAACAAATAAACAAATAAGGGCTTTTGGAAACAATTTTTTTTTTAAACGCATCCATGACTCTGTCAAAAGGGACATGGTAAGAAATCAATGTCATACTCAAGAGCACATGATTAATGACAAAGATTAAAGATATAATGGCATTCTAAACACATTTGAAGATAATGCCTTTAGTTTTGCTCTTAATGATATAAGAGAGCTTGCATATAATTTCTATGAACTGTAAGAAAATGAATATTTTATAAAGCTTAAAGGCTCATTCGAATATGGTAGTGAAGGGCTTTTGCTTACATGTTGCCAGAAATAACCAGCTTTTAAGTTTCTGTCTGTATTACCTGCACCACAGAGACACAAATGAGAAAGATCAAGCAAACATGCACAACACGTTCAGTTAATTTACTCAAATCACAGAGGTGTGGGTTTCCTTCGGAGACCACTGAAGTGCGGCCGTGGCCCTGTTTAGCATGCACGGAGACGTTTCACTTTCAAAACATGGCCTATTTAATAAGGCGCAAGCACGGGTGGCATGGCATTACAGAAGAGCACGCGAAAGGACAGTTCAATCACCGCAGCGATGCAATGACCTTCTCGAATGCATATGAGCTGACCTCCTCGCAGAGTGTTTCATCCCTACAAAGGAGACGGCACCTCTGAATATAGAGGAAAAAAACATTTTCATTTCGTTTTCAAACCAAGGGTGTAATTACAACACGTCTCTGATTTCCTGTTAAGACTTTAAACAGCATTCTTGCTACTTCAGTGGGGAATGGTGTTAGTGGGTAAATCGTAAATAAACCGGATGATTTATCAACTGTATTGATTAAGACGTACTTATGAATAAGTACTCTGTGGATACGTAATATCAGACAGGTAAATACACCTTTAATTGCCATTCATGGGAAAGATATTCAACATTCTGTGGTATGTTTTCATTAATTTATTATTAAAGTAAAGACACACCTTAAAGCTAACCCACAATTTGATGATTGAATAGCGATGACTCTAAACAACTTTTAAGTGTTGTAACACATTTGGATCTATAATTTGTTAAAAATCTGGATGAGAAAATTCAAATGGTTGTCTTATGCGATAATGATGCTAAATTTTATTATGAGATGTTTCATATTTTTTCATGTTTCACTGATTGATATTATATTAATGCAATCGGTATTAAAAACTTTACAGCTGACTGGAAACACTTCTGTTTGCACTGGTTATAATATTCGATACAGTTGTTCATTAACCGTTCTTCTCTTTATCTGAGACCCATCCACACACTGAATATGGTAACACCTGTGATTATCACAGGAGGTTCCAGCAATTCATCCGTCAGCAACCTCAGACAGCTTCTGAAAACAAGGGCAAAACCTTGTTGTCTCATCAATCTATTTCTCTAGACCACCGTCTACTTGGAAATGAATAAAGGTTTTGCCAATACACTGAAAAAAGTTTCGCAGAGAATTACAGTATTAGCTGATATCATCTTAGTTTTAATACTGATAACGTCTGACAACAAATGTACCTTTACAATTCTGTTGGACACAGAATCTTGGCAAAGCAAGACAAACTGAGAACTTTAAGATTCACAGTATGTTAAAAGTTCAAGAAATATAGAGAATTCACATTTCCTTAACGTTCAAATGATTAAAACACTATAGAAGAGATACTAAAAGGGTTTTCCTTTTAAAGCCTGAATGTTCAAGGTTCTCCTATCATAATTAAGGCTTCTTTACATACAAGACATATAACCCATTGCGACGACTGTCTTGAGCTCAAGGCTGTGGTACAAGAACATTCAGTAGCTATTTTAATTCAGCAAGGCTGGAAAACGCAAAATCTGTACTAGCATTCAGATGTTTTTGTTTTCGTCAGGTTTAGAGGTTTAGTCTCTATCAGATGTGCAATTAAAATTCTTTCAAAAGGAAAAATATACAATTAATCTCATAATGTACTTTTACCTCTGTGGTGTGCGTAGGGCTCCTCCATTCTGCATTAATGTTGTATATTTGTCTTTGTGTATTATGTGTCGGAAAACTAAAGCGAGCATAGACAACAAAAAGAAGGAAGACAGGGGCTGCACTGTAGATTGCGTCATTCCTTTTACATATCAAAATGACTCAAACCTATGCAGCCATAGGTCACTCAGCAGAGATGACCATGCTTATTTTGAAAAATGGTGGAAAAGCAAGGAAAGCAAGAAAAGCTGTGTGAGTGTGGCCTGACAATCCAGTTGGGAGAGTCATTTAACATTTGCCAACCCCTGGCCAATTGGAAACATCACCCCTCTGACATCAAAATGAACTTGAACTTGAATCAGTACTGGCTTTCAATTGAACACATGTATGAAACATTTCAGGTGGGTAGCTGTGTCAGCATGCGTAGGCTGCAAAGGAACAAGTAATAGGTATATTCCATGCTGAAAAGAGAAGAAAGAAAACACGTTTCGGCCGTGGAGCCTTCTTCGGGTGTAAGCAAGATAGGGCAGTCAGCAAAGATAATACAGCAGTGGAAAACACAAGAAGGGAGAAAGGAAGAGGAGGGAGAGGGGAGAGGCAGAGTGGCCAATCAAGTGGTGCGAGGTCGAGAGAGGTGAGGAGAGGTGTGAAACGAAACCTACAGATGAACAGAGAGAATTAGAAGAAAACAAGTCTGTTGTTGAGAGAAGGGGAAGGTGTGAACCAAGTTTCAGTATAATTTTAGTTTCTGATGTCTTTCTGCTGTGGGAGTTGAGAAACCCTTCTTTGAGAACAGAGACAGAAAAATCAGTGTGATCATGGTTGTCTGAGGTGAATTGAGAAACTATGGGCTTGGAGAAATCTTTAATCCTCACAGCCCTAACATGTTCTCTGAATCGGTCTCTGAGTCTCCCTCCTGTTTCCCCATTGTAGATGGCTGGGCATTTACTGCAAGAGATACAGTAAATAAGGTTTCTGGAGGTACAAGATGTCATCTGAGTGATCCAAAATTGTCCTGAGGGGCCTTGAATGAGTGTGGTGTTAGATATGT